CTATATAATGTAGTAGATGCATCACATATAATCCAAAATTATTTTAAATTTGAGATAAAATAACGGAGGCACATAAGTGACATGCTTATAAATTTCTAAAACTTGAAATTTCAGGAATGAACTACTTACATGAAGAAGCACCTGTCAAAGTCATACATCGTGACCTCAAATCCAAAAATGGTAAATTTTTTAGTGTTAATTTACTAAACACAACATACTAGATATTTAATTGAGTTCATGTATGTGATTAACTGTATTTTCCAGAGTAGGTTTACGATGGTATCCTGGAAATTTTGTAAATTTATTAATAAATATAAGAAATATATCTTTGATTTGATGCCAGCAGTGTTGGCATGTTACTAGAAAAAAAGTAATGACATTACTTTGGCTGTTACCTGTTAAAAATAGTTGTGCCATTACCCAAAACATTACTGATTTAAAATGTAATGAGTAACGAATTGTTACTCATAATTTTTCAAATGGATACCTATATTCTCTATATAAAACATACACCGTGTACATCATATATTATATATATGTATACAGAACTGAACTAAAAGCATTGAACTAAAGACAAAAAAAAAATGCATTATACATTAAGAGGTTTTAGAATATCAATTAAAGGAACTATTTTTATTTTTCCTTTATAATTTTCTAAGTAATGACAACATATGACTTACACAATACAAGAAAAAGGAATACAAATTACTAAATTAACTAAGTAGCCTCTGAATTAGTGTAAAATAATCTAACTTAGATTATTTTGTGTGGTTAATATCACATTTACATTTCAAGAAAACAGCTGTTTTGAAGCTTGCATCAAACATTCCTTCTGTTTTTGCTATCAGCACGTCTTTTACAACTGAAAAAACCCTCTCAACTGTGGCATTTGATGGAATAGCTGAAACGAAAACTGACTTTAAGACTGCATCTGGAAATGCATCATTGTGAACAGACTTTACAAGAGATCTATCTTGAAAAGTATCAACTACTTGAGAACTTTCATTTCCAGTACTTTTTCCCCCTTTGTTTGCAGGCATCTGAAATAATTATCTTCATATTCTGTTGTGCTCTCTTGATTAGGCAATTCTATACCATATTGTGCTGTGTGTTCTCCTATCTTTGTGATCACTTTTTTTGTCAAACTTGTTCCTCCTCATTTTCTGGAAGCCAGGAAAGCTTGAAGCTAGGATGAATACATCCTGAAAAGAATTGATCATTGAACATGTTGTGAAACCTAGTTTTTATGCTTTGAATTAATACTTCATGTAGGGGGTTTACAAATTATCAACCATTTATTGTTTAAATCGCCCAATTTGGCTAGACAGACATGCAAGGTAAAAATCAGTAGTCCTATAAATGCTTTGAGCTCACACTGCAAGATGTCAAGTGCTCTAGCAATAGGTTTCATGACTTGAACATATTCCAAAATAGAATTTTTCTGAGCTGGATTCAGCCATACAATGCATAGTTGATCAAAAATGCAGTCTAGGGCTTGATTACTTGATTCACAGATATTAACTAATCTATGCGATTTAGGGCATCAAACATTGAATTCCAATTCCCTATTTCTTTGAAGTTGTGTTGGCACCTACAGTGCTTCTGCTCTGTTTATTCTATAGGGCTTAAACTTATGCTATTGCTGATCAAGACAATTTTTTTATACTAACATTATTTAAAGCTTTACCTACATCAGTAGTAACAACAAGATTCAATGTATGAGAGGCACAGCTTTGATAGTCTGACAAATTGCATCTACACAAATGAGGTGACACCTCATCATCAACAGCTAATATATAAGCAAGAGAATGAATTTCTACAGCATCTTCATCTGAGTCGTCATCTTCATTTATGACTGCATCATCACCACTACCAGCAACATCACCATACAGTTGGTCAGGAGAGATGGTGGATGCATTGTTGGAAAACAGTCTGTAAAAGAAGTTGTCACTCTATAATTTTGACATTTAATAACATGGCCAATAATCCAACCATAAAGGGCAATGTTTTGATCTGATGTCCAACCAAGTGAACCAGAACAACCAACCAATAAACATGTGACAGAGATGACAGTGAAGCTTGTGAAAGGATGACAGCGAAGCTTATAACACGATGACAGCGAAGCTTATAACACGATGACAGCAAGGCTTATGACAGGATGACAGCAAAGCTTATGACATGATGACAGTGAGGCTAGGCTCCTCCAAATACAAGTAATACTGGCTAACACCAGATGATCTTGTTAAGATTAAGAAAAGTCTCCCAGGCATGAAAGACATAATTATACGAATGTAGGCTGTAATTTATATCTATTATATTGGTAATACATATCTTCTTTCCTCCCATTATTTCAATCCTTCCTTCATTTATTAATTCATTCCCACACCCATGTTTGTATAATACAAATTGTTCTCTATCTCTCTCATTATATATTCTTATCATGATATTTTAAAGCTTCACTCTAATTGGCCAATGCATGCATGATTTCACAAATGGGAGTAATTCTACGAAGGCAGTGGGCTTAACATAGAAAATGTGGTCACGGCTCCCTGAGTAAGGGCTATTGTAGTATGCAGTAATTTAAATATATAGACAAATTCATGTAACTTTAGAATATGCCACTAACCTAAAAGCCTTTATGAAGTTCCTGCCGTTATCTGTTGTAGTTTTGACAATTTTGTTCTTGACGCAATATTCAGCATGTACTGCTTGTAGTGTCTTTCCAATGAAATTGTAGATGTGACAACCTTTTATACTACAGCAGGTGATAACTGCTTGCGTATGTTCGAGTGCATTCTCAGAATGACTCCTAAGTAGGCTCTGAAATAATATGATAGTCCATCAGTTTTCAAACGTGCTTTTAATAACAAAAGAGGTTAACTCCAGTATTTAAAAATTAACTATAGTAAATACAATGACAGTCTAATAAAATATCAATGTTTCTATGTCAGGTGCAAAAAAACAAACCTCCCACATTTTATAGTTTAAAAAATGTGATAATATTAGAAACAAAAAAATTTTAGATTATTATGCTTACCTCCCCTCATACTACAGCTGTTACTCGAGTGCTAGGGTTTCTTTACCTTTCCCCATCTAAGCATTGGTCTGATATTTCTCATTTGCTCCAGTCTTTTATTCCCCACTTAATCGCCCTTGGCAATATCTGTCTTATGACACTCTCCACCTACATCAGTGTGCCCTCTATCTTGGTACTGTATATAAGCAACTCCTTCAGATAATATTGTCACTTTTTCTTCGACAAAGCATTCACTAATGGGTTTCTCTGTAGTTCAGTCATTGGAGATACTATGAGTGTTCTTCATGTTTCTTGTTTGGATTTTGTAAAACTAAACTAAAAAACAAATATTTCATTTGGCAAGCTGAATTTCATCATGCATTCCCGGGATTAATCCAGTATGAAGTCATATCAGGTCTCTCTTATCCCTCCTTTGATATCTAGTGTTGCTCCTGAAATGGGGGGTTGCTCTCATTTGAGGCTGTCCTTGACCTTATCCGTAGTGAGATGGAGATGTACATTCGGTCCAGTGATGTTTATCCGGGGGACTTTGAGGCTGTGCTTGCGGGAGATACTGGACATTCTGGAGAAAATTTAGATTAACTTTTTCCCTTGCATTTCTTTACTTTGTCAGCTTTTCATGAGGCCAGTTTGGATCAGCCTCTTCCAAATCTTTTTTTTCCCAATGATACATCTAGTGCATGATGTTCCAGGTCTCTCCCCGGGTTGCTTTTGAGTCTGCATCTTCCTTGATAGTAGAAAGGCCTGAGGGCAAGTACTTAGTTCTTTCTCCATCACCTGATATTGCAATTCATGCAGGGAGGTTTACTGCTTAGTTACATGAAGGGACAGCTATTGTTTGTCTGCCACATTTGTCAAAACAACATCCTTTTACCTACCACTGCCAGGTAGAAGTGTATTTAGACTCTCAGAGTATAAATCTGCTCCTGGAAATGTGGGGTTCCAGAAGTGAGTCTGTGGTCAACCTGAATAGATCACAGTTATCTAGGATTTGTCTGACCCTAACAATGGTTTATTTATCATCCCTACACCTTTTTTTAGGAAGCATCTCAGTGATCTCCACATCACTCTGATGATGAGTTGGCATCCTCCAAGGTTCGTTTGTCAGTTTCTGCACTTTTCCTAGTCTCTTGGCTGGTTTGTGTTGGGATTTGTTGGATAAAGATGAGTAGTTGGAGGACATCTGTCTACCTGCTGCCGCCCTCTGTGAGTTACATGAGGCCCTTTTCTCCAACTCTTGATTTATGCAGACGTTCCAGAGTCTTTGGATTTGAGAGTTGATTTTGACCATCTGCATTCATCCCTGTCGCTGTTGGCTTCTCATCTTTCCTTGGCTCCTACAGGGGGTCCTAGTTCTGCCTCTATTCGAGTGTCCCAACCCCTAGCATCAGCCTCTTGGTCCATGGGTACCCAGAATAGATTCCGCCTATATCCACGAGGTTCCTCCACTTGGTTGTAATGCCGCCAGCAGTGGTAGTGACTACCATATACCTTTGGTGTGTGTGTGTGGGCTTGGCTCCCAGAATTTCAGAACATGTAAAAAACCTTTACCACAGATCCATGGGTACTACTGGTCCTTGCATCAAGATCAATCATTCAGTTCACATCTCAGATTTTGGGGAATTCTTTCCATGGCTATCAGAGATTTGTTGGTCAAGGGAGAAGTGGTTAGAGTCATTGAACATCTACCTGGGCACAACAAACAGATAGAGGATTGGTTTCCAGTCTAAATCAATTCTTAGACCCTTCAATGTTCATGATGGAGTCACTCCTCACTCTGCATTGGTACTTTTACGAGGACAGTGGATGACCAAATTCGATGTTGCCAATGCTTATCTGCCTGTTTCAATAGCAGATTCATCCTGCTACTATCTGCATTTTATGCACAAGTATTTAGTGCTGTAGATCAGCAAATGTACAATGTTTCGACAAGGTTTTGTCATCATCAGGTACAAGTAGTTTACACCGACATATATATATATATATATATATATATATATATATTG